ACCAGAATTAAAAGGCACAGTAGATGCATTCACTTCGGAAAGTTTAACACCTTTGCCAACTAAAGATGTGATCATGACAAATGATTCAATAGATATACCAGTTCAAAAAAAGTTAGATGATCTAAAATGTGAAATAGGTACATCAGTTGAAGATCAAACACACAAACCAGAAAACAAAGTGAATGAAAGTGCCTTTGGAAATAAACCACTGAATGCAATTGGTGTACCAAATGAAGATTGTACATTGGAACCACCACATGACAGACAATCAATTGAAAATATAGAAGGTGTGACAGATTCATTGAATGTCCAAGCATTAGAAAGTTTAATACATGTACAAACACCAATTCAGGATGATATGCAAGAACAGGAAGATGCAATAGGTGTTACAATTGAAAAGAACCTTTTGGAAACTATAAATGAGTCGTCAATACAAGATTATACAATGGCACCAGAATTAAAAGGCATGGTAGATGCATTCACTTCAGAAGGTTTAACACCTTTGCCAACTAAAGATGTGATCATGACAAATGATTCAATAGATATACCAGTTCAAAAAGAGTTAGATGACCCAAAATGTGAAATAGGTACATCGGTTGAAGATCAAACACACAAACCAGAAAACCTAGTGAATGAACTGGATAAGGAGAAAATGAATACTACAGGGATATGTATTGAAGATGGATATGAAACATATGAAGTAACTGTTAATTTATCCAGTGATGATGAAGAAGACATTACAGAAAATGCTAGAGATGTTGCTGAACCATCAACATTGCACAATTACAAAGACTTTGAGGCATGTAATTCCTCGGAGGATGCATTAGCAAAACAAGATTTAAAAACTGAAGTGGGGTCAGTAGAGATTAAGATTGGAAATTCAATAGAAACTCTTGAAGTAATGGTGAACTTATCAGATGAAGATTCAAATATCAATGATACAGAAAAACCATCTAAAACACAAGACAATTTTGGCGAAAATATTGAAAACGCGAGTGAGTCATTTGATGAAGAGATGGATCAACTAATAGAACAAGAAAGGGAGAGTGAGGGTATAATATCTGCTCCTTGTAATGATGAAATAGAGCAGTATGATAGTGCATCAAATATTAATGATGAAGAAAAATCGAATCAAGGAGAAATTACAATTAATGAGGCAGAATTTGAATCTCCAAAAACTGAGCAACATGAAAATGAATTGAATAATCTTACATTTACTTCCCTAATTGAAACTAAATATGGGCAACAAGAAATGAATGAAAGGAAGAATGTAGCATTATTGGAAAACGTAGCTCAGGGCAATTTGACATCACCAGAGAATGCAAAAAATCAACATGTAGAAGAAACAATGTTGAATGGATCTGAAAACAAACATGCAGTTGAAGAAACAATTGAAAAAATGCTTGACACATTAGAACATGCAGAAAAATCAAGCGATTCTCAAAATGCTTTGAAACAGCATACAAGTTCAAGAAAGCAGACTTCTAGGAAATCTACAAGCAGAAATGGTAGTGGTATTAAATCATTTTTCAGTCTTACTGTTTCCTGCAATGTATGTGGAGAAAAAATAGAAATTGACAAAATGGATGACCATTTGACTGTATGTAAGAAAGATTAAATAATTACGAATTATGGTAATGTAGAAATTTACTTGACCATAAAAATCTATCTTTATAATTTGATGAGGCAATGTGTACATATGACTGACAGAAAATCTTACACTCAATTCTAATAACATTAGAGGTATTTACTATACATGTACTAGGTAACTTCAAGTGACAATGCTCATATTATTCTGTATTTTATTCACTATTTTAGTGGCAGTTGTTAGTATTGCATTTGATGAAAGTGGTACTGGTACTGGTACTTAACATGACTAGATATAGAAATGAACTTTAAAAAGAAAGTCTATCTGAGAGAAATCCTTTTAGTTTCAGTTAAGTTTTCAGAAACAGTTTTAGTCATGTAAATTTTAATTTGAACGTCGTAGAAGTGAATTTCACACATAGTTAGGTTAGGTGTGTCAGATTCCAGCCAATCTGAACACAGTATTTCACATAACTGCATTGAATTATATGACCAATTAACCACCCAAGGTCATTTGTTGAATAGTTTTTAAGTTGAGTGTACACATTGAAATTGGTGCTTTGCCAACTTGACCCTTGCAAAAAGTTTCATTGAAAAATGTTCCTTTTAGTGATGTTTTATCTTTTACTTAGATGGTTTTTGAAAATAATTTGCAATGTGTACAAAGAATTTAAGCCCAAGAATTGATGCATTGTGGCTGATTCGTTCCTCTCAGCCATTATTTCCTGAACTTCAGATTCAATGCTATGCATCTCGTGCAAATGTTGAAATAACATCTTTTTGAAGAATGAAACAGACCGCAGTCCAGGGTTTGAAATAATAGGAATTAATAAGAGTCTAAAATCATTTCAGATTTTATTTTTCTCGATAATAGAAATGGTATCATCTATATTCTTTATATTTACTAATAACCATTACTATTACTAATACTACTTGTCTTTGAATAAATATTTCTAAAAGCTATTTTTGTGACATTGCTGCATGCCAAACAAACAGACTCCATTTTCTTAAAGTGTTAAATAATAATTTCATCGAGGTTTGGTATTCCTGATATGAAGGAGCAAAGAATATTTTGTTAGGAACCTTGATAATATTCATTTCCCATTTTTGAAAATATACATTTTTTGTTATTGCAGAGATTCATGAATTAATCCTGAAAGAGGGAAGCACAATCTGGCCAACCTTTTATCTATGCAATTGTACATATAGTACGAATCATAGTGAAGAATTTGTCCAGCATATACTAGATTCTCCTGAACATGCCATGCCGCCTTTTCAATGCATGCATTGCCCAGAGAGTCTTTCAATCGACTCTGTAATTGAACATTATAACAATCACAGTCAGACAACCATATTGCCTGTTAACTTCTATCAATGTTCAATCTGCAGTTTTCATACACGTCATTCAAAGTCATTTATAGACCATGTTTCAGAATATCACAAAAGTACTGAATTATTTCACTGTCCATATTGTGATGCACAAGCACCTACTGCTGAAATATTAGTGAGCCACATGGAGGTATACAAATATCTCAACGGTGCACAACTACTTTACAAGTGTGCAGATTGTAAACAACAATTGGAAACAAAGAGGTCTTTGAAACGCCATATCCTGAGGGATCACAATGATAGTTATTTGTGTGGTTTTTGCTCAGAGAAGTTCAAAACTCTGGATGAAATGTGTACACATATTGATGCTAATATATATGATATATATAAATGTAAAGAGTGTAGTTTTGTTCATACCAGTCAAGCCAACATAGAGCAGCATGTTCTGATCAATCATGTTTTAGCTGAGTGCATTGTCATTAGAAAGTCAGTTCCTGGGAAATGTCTAAATCAGCTGACTTTGAGTAAATTGATTGATGCACGTAATGAGGTAATGAAACAGGACAGTAAAGACCTTAAAAAGCAGCATGTTTCTAAAAAATCCACAACAAAGGGATGTAAGAGACCCCCATCTCTCACTGTTGCATGTAACATGTGTGGAGATCATATTGATGTTCTACAAGTAGATGAGCATGCCGTTATATGTAAGAAAACCAAGGCTGATGATGTATCAGGTGCTCAATCAACAACAGATCCAAAATCGGAGTCACATTCCGAAGGAAAGTGTGGAATAACAAACCGTCCAAAAGATGTATGTGTGAAGGTTGAACCATTTGAAAATTATGATCTTAATGGGAAGATGATGTGGTATGAATGTGCTGGTTGTAAATTTGAAACCAAAAATTCATTGCTGATTGTTTCTCACCTTGGTTCATGTAACCAGGCTAGGGAAGCAGCCATAACGTTAACCGCAGATGGATGCAGACCTCCTTTAAATGCCTCACCTCGTAGACAAATATGTTACACGTGTCCAAATTGTCCATATGATGCATACAGCTCTGTTGAAATGTGTGAACATATGCAAAACCATGCAAAAAGAATATCACTTTATACAAGTAGTCAGTTTTCATGTTCCTACTGTAACCAAATATTCCAGTGGTATTATGAGTTGTATGATCACATGTCAGCCCATAAAGGAAGAACAAAACTGAAATTATTTACTTGTCAGCTCTGTAGATATAGAACAACACTGGATGCTTTGGCAAAAGATCATGCTTTACAGGTACATGAGCAAAGATTGGACCCTATACCATTGGTCAGTATGTTTGAATGTCAGGATGGTAGCTGTGAGAGCTGTGGTAGACTTTTAAAAGCAAAGGCCATTTGTGCAGTTTGTCAAACTGTTAGATGTACAGATCAACCCCAGCAACAAATCAACAGTATTTCTCAAGCACAACAACCTCAAATCAAATCTGAACACGCTTCTTTCCAAAATGACACACCTGCACAAAATATTGTTAGTGGATCTTCTGGGAATTTGACCAAACAAATGTCAAGTGGAATGACTACCTTAAATATCAAATGTCCTCTCTGTGTAATGAGATTCCCAAGTCACCATGAGCTACAAAACCACAATCAGCAAGTTCATGATATAAAATTTTCAATCTCAAATAAGCCAATCAAAGAAGAACAAGATAGGACTAGACCACAGACATATGCCTGCAATATTCCCGATACAAAGCATCTTATTCAACCTGTTCAGCCACAACTTCAGGATGCATCCATGACACAATCCAAAAATCCAATCCAACACAATCCATCACAACCCAGCCAATTGAAATGTATCATTAAAGATGAGCAACATGATACTATGGAAATGAAGTCCAAATTAGCTGATAAAAAGACTACTTTAGATCTGAAGATTCAGGATAAAGAAGTTTCGAATCCAATTAAAAAAGAAAAGATCAAGAGTGGAAACAAGGCACCAGGTATTTCTGAGAACAATTTGGACACAAAGGATCTTCAAAAATGTAGTCATCCAAGAAGGAACAGTTCAAAAGCATCTACTCCACCACTATCAAATGACGATGCAACTGATGAAGTATGTGAAAGTAACTGGGGGGAGGACTCTGAACCAGTTGATGACTGGGAAGAGGAGAGGAGCATGGGCACATCTAGAGTTCTCAGGCCAAGAAAAAAGATAAAGTCTTATAATGAGGAACTACTTTCAGAAGGAAGTACGGAACAAGAAAATATCAGTAACCATGCAGCAGTTGACAAATCTAATCAAAAAGTAAAAGACAAAGGTTCATCTAAACCTTCTAAAAAGCCAGAGAAATTAGAACTAACTGGTAAAAAATCTAAAGATCCTCCTTTTGTTGACTTAAATACTAGTAATGTTCTTAAACGTAGTGTTACATCTAAAAGAAAAGATGGACATCAGACTTCACCAACAGTTGACTTAGATACTAGTAATGTTCTTAAACATAGTGTTAGATCTAAACAAAAAGATGGACATAAAACTACACCAGCAGCACCAAATATCACTTCTACAACTCCAAGCTCTTCTGTTATTGCTCCAAAGCAATCTGGAATGACAGTTGAGAAGCTAACATCAATTATTAATGAAGGATGTAAATCAAATCGTCCTGTGTCAACAAATATTCTGAAAAGTGGAGATGTATCAAAAGAGCATCGCTCTAGTTGTTCCCTGGATAGCAACAAAAATGATGTGGAAACTCCTGATACACATAATGACGATAAACCAGAACTTGAAACTGATGATGAAATATGTGTACTACCTTTAACAAAAAATGGGGATTTTATGATCCCTAAAGAAAAGGTTTTCTCATCACATGTACAGTGTTCAGATTGCTCATTTAGATCTAGAATCCAAAGTAGCCTTGTTCATCATTTACAACAGGAACATGTTAAAAAGGAAACACCGCGCAAAATGCCAGCTATTAGATATTTATCTAACTGTAGTAAGAGAAGAGAAAAGGGTGAGGTAAGGGTTGCCAAGGTCCTTCCAAAAGTTGAAAAGCACCATTATAAGCATGGTGATCACTTTGAAACCAAAATTAGTATTCAGCCAGAAGATATTTTTTCAGCTTGTGAAACTGGTAAAAGTTCCCGTCATTGCCGGCAGTGCAATTTCTCTGGAAAATCAACAAAAGAGCTTAGGCTACATAGATACCTCAAACATATATTGAAGAAACACTTCTTCTGTATTTACTGTGGATTAAAAGCAGAATCTGAAAAGGTAATTAAAAGCCATTGTAAAAAGGTCCATAAAAGCCTGCCAGTTGAACATAAAATCCTCCCAGCAGACATGGATCCTAAACCAGAACTGTGCTTGTCGCTTGTGGATGATATAGGGAACAAGTCAAACATACATCATGGGGAAAGCCTTAGGACTAGCATTACAGGTAGAAAGGTAGCAGAAATAGTTAGTGGATCTGCTGATGATTTCACAGTTTTGGCAAGAGGTAATGATGTTGGTAAGTTGGTTGGTAAGTTGGTTGGAAAGTTCAAATGTAATGTGTGTAATAGTGGGTCTACTTACACAAGCAAAGAAGAAGCAGGAAAACATATCAATAGAAGCCATTTAGGCATAAATAATTACACTTGCACTCAATGCAACACACAATTTCAAAAGAAGAATGATTGTGAACATCACTGTATTTCCAAACACAAATCTGACAAGTACGTAAAATCTAACAAACCTCCTGTATTTAGGGTTGTTAAAGTAGAAGGTGGCATTTCTTATCTTGGAACTGACATTGAAGATGATCCAAAAGAAGTTACCAATGTTGACAGTCGAGAAACTATCTTCTGTGGTCTGTGTAATAAAAGTGATAAGGAAGAAGATGTAATAAAGAAACATATACTTGACAAGCATGTGCGTTTTCTCCCATTCATATGTACAATATGTAACCAATCATTGTACAACCGAGAGTCTGCAGAAGCTCATTGTAAACACAGACATGAGGGAAAGGATCATAAGAAGTGTATTGCTACTGTAGTGGCGCCAAACATTGACCACACCATCAAAGAGATCAAAGGAAAAATCTATATTGGTGATGTTGCACTTACACAACCTACAAAACCTGTGATACGTACATTACCAGATCAGAAAACAAATAAAGATCATGCCAGGTTACCTATTAATACAAAAGCTAATACTAAGTCTGTTACAGAAATTCAGAAATCTGGAACAGAACCTAAGAAAGCAGAGAAACCTATTCAACCTAATGAGGAATTTCAATGTAATGTTTGCAAGAAACAATACCTAAATAAGCACACCATCAACATGCATATCTATACTACCCATAAAACATCAGAACGTTTCTTTTGCAAACTTTGTGATGTTAAAGCTATGTGTACCCGTGATGAGATTAAGGAACATATATTAAATGTTCATAGGAATACTGCACCATTGAACATTGGGGTAAAGCCATTACCCACTTTGAAGTATACAAAGTCTGGTTCTTTAACAATCGTCACCCCTGAGTTAACAAACACAGATGACTCCCCTGCACAAACTGCTGAAGATATTAGAAAATTCAGATGTGGTCTATGTCATGTAGATAGCAAGAATAAATATGAAACCAAGAAGCATGTTTATTCTGTCCATTTGAAACTTGGAGGGTATTATTGCAAATTGTGCAACGACCAGTTTTACAAGGTTAACGAAGCCAAAGAACATGTTAAGTTGAAACACGCTAAATCTTCCATAGAGAAATATATTGGGTATCATACACTTCCAGAGTTGCTTGAAACAAACACCTCAAAGTATACCATTTTTACACCTCCATCAGATGTTCCTAGTTCCCATTCTAAAACTGCAATGGATGCTTCAAGTTCTACATCAGATGTATCTTCCAAATGTCCAAAAATACATGTAAAGGGAAAAGATAAAGATGAAAAAATGGATTCGAAAAGGAAAAGAAAATTACCAACAACATCTGAGAAGGGCATATCATCCAAATCCGAAGCTAAAAGGAGAAAATAATTTAGTCAGAATCACTAAGTGCACTTATTAAAAGGTGGAGGTTTAGTTTTTGGTGCAGGGGCAAATATCAACAGGTTGTCTTTTCAACTACATTACCTTATAATAAGGCATTATAATGTTTATCATTATGAAACATTGTTACTCAACTGAATAACATATGTTTCAGGAATGAGATGTACACTTAATGATGTCAAAACAGAGTCAAATCAAGTTATGGCAGGACAAACAGGTAAGAAACAGCTACAACATTGCTGTTTGAAACCAGTAGTTGACTGTTTTTCTCTCATCTTTTTGATAATCAAGTAATATCAAAATTTGCAGCAATTTTGAATTAACTTTCATGTTTGAATTTTAATGTTAACAGTTCACCACACCAACTCCATATTTTCCTTTCAGAGCTCTGTCTGTTAAATCCTAAACAAGTGAATGTGATCTGGCCTACCTTATACATGTGTGATTGCTCATTTACTAGCAGAGAGAGCGAACAATTTCTAAAGCATATAATCAATTCTCCTGACCATCCCATTCCTTATCAATGTATGCACTGTTCTGAGAGTATTGATTCTACAGAATCTATCATTGAACATTATAATTCACATAGTCAAACAACCATTCTCCCCAAGAATTTTTACCAGTGTTCACTTTGCAGTTTTCATTCACGTCATTCAAAATCATTTGTAGACCATATTTCAAATTCTCATCAAAATGCTCAGATGTCCTGTCCATATTGTGATGAGCAGGTTCCTTCTGCTGATCTAGTCAAACATATGGAAATATACAGGGATATCAATCAGGTGCAATTTCTTTATAAATGTGGTGATTGTAAAAAACCTATGCCATCAAAAAGGTCTTTGAAACGTCATATCGTTAGTGATCACAATGGAAGTTATTTGTGTGCCTTTTGCTCCAAGAAGTTCAGAACTCTAGATGAAATGAGTATACATTTGGATGCTAATATCTATGATATATATAAATGTGAGGAATGTAGCTTTGTTCACACCAGTAAGATAAAAATGGAAATGCATATTAAGCAGTATCATCATATGTCGGAATGTTCTGTATTAAGAAAATCAATTCCTGGTAAATGTATGGGCACTGTAAGTTTGAATGAATTGATTGAATTGCATGAGGAGATCCCTCCTGTCCCAAGGAAAGAACAAAACAAACCAAGGCAAATGTCGAAGAAATCTTCTACTAAAAATGGACGTGGTATAAAGAGATCTTTTGCCTTTAGTGTTACGTGTGATTTGTGTGGAGATCCTATTGATGTTGGAAGAGTTGATGACCATGTAAATATGTGTAAGAAAAGTAAGAATAATGACAGTAGAAATGATGCAACTGAAAATACACAGGAAGGAACACAAAAGAATGGATCTGGTGCATCAAATATCCAAAGACCTCATGAGAAAAAAAATGTCAGCGCTGATGAGTCAGATGACATTGAGGTATTGTTAAGCACTACCAAATCAATTGCAAATGCAAATCATACAGGAGAACAGAACAATATACCCATCAAAACTGAACCAACTGTCACATCTCTGCAAAATACGGATGGTGGTGTGTTAGTGTGTTTTGAATGTGCTGGTTGCAGATTTGAAGCAAGGGACCCTGCCATTATGATATCCCATCTTAGCGAATGTAACCTTGCAAGAGATGCAACAATAAGGTTAACATCAGATGGTTGTAGGGCTCCATTGAATGCATCCCCTACTAGACAAGTCTGTTATACATGTCCTCAGTGCCCATATGACGCATATAATTCAGGTGAAATGTGTGATCATATGCAACAACATGCAAAACAGATGTCAGTATTTACAAGTAGTCAGTTTTCTTGTCCACATTGCCTGATGATATTCAAGTGGTTTTATGAACTATATGATCATATGTTAACACATAAAGGAAGAACACAACTGACATTATTCACATGTCCGCTATGTAAATATAGAACAACTCTGGATGCTTTGGCAAAAGATCATGCTTTACAGGTACATGAACAAAGGTTAGATCCTGTACCATATGTAAGCATGTTTGAATGCCAAGACAGTTCCTGTGCAAGCTGTGGTAGACTTTTGAAATTCAATACAACTTGTACACTCTGTCAAAGCAGAATACATATGCAGCAACCACAACACCAAGGACAGCAAGCATTTATTTCTCATGTACAGCAAGAAAACCAAATATGTCAAATAACTGATGTGAAAACTGAAGTTCTTGATGAGCAACCTACTAGGAGTTCAGTGGGGAATGTAGATCAGAACAATAGTATTGGTGATGAATATGCTTATGATGGAAATAATGTGAAACAATTTGCTAATATTAACTCCTCATTAGAGATTTCCTCAATGAACATTAAGTGCCCACTTTGTGATTTAATGTTTAGAAACCACCATGAACTTCAAAATCATCAGCGAGTCCATGAGAAGAATTATTTCATAAAAAATGAACATGCTACAAATGAAACAATGACATCAGTTTTTGCACACTACATACCAAACAAAAAACCTCTCCCTGAATGCTCTGACATTTCAGTTGTTAACCAAGAGAAAGAAAAAATAATTGACTTGACACAGCATCCCAGCTCAGGAAGCAGGTCGATAAGATCTAATGTGCCATCATCAGAAGATGATACAGAGAACAATGACAATGAGAATAGGTGGGAAGAGGATTCTGAATCAACAGTTGATAAGAATGAAGGAATTCCAAGAATGCTTAGGTCAAGGTCCAAGAGAAACCTTAGGCCAAGGACAAAAAGAAGGTCATCAAATAATGACAGCTTAAGTGAGAAGTCTGACTCAACAGCATTGGCAGAATCTACTCCATCAAGAGTTCTCAGGCCAAGAACTAAAAGAAAGTTATCTAGTAATGACAGTGTTGGTGAGAATGACTGGGAAGAAGATTCTGTAACATTTGATGAGGAAGAAGTTACTCCATCAAGAATACTTAGGTCAAGGACTAAACGAAAATCACCTGGTAATGACAATTTTGGTGAGAATGACTGGGAAGAAGATTCTGTAACATTTGACGAGGAAGATGTTACTCCATCAAGAGCACTCAGGTCAAAAGCTAAGAGAAATGCATATACCACAAAACCAACTTTTAGTGAAAACAGTAAACAAGAGAATGGTGAGATTCAGTCATTAGCCTTAAAAACAGTAAATTTGAATGAAAATGCCCTTTCATCTCAAGAAATTACGGAATCTGCCTCTAACAAGGGGAATGGGGTAGATGAATTAATACCAGATAGCCTTTCCATTGGTACTTCGGGGCTCATTTCAGATATGAATGAAGGGTTTGGAACATCCATTGCATTAACAGATGATTCTAAAACAAGCACAAGACAAGACTTGTTAAACAGCAACACTGATGTAGGGGAAGCTACCTTTAAACCAAACGAAAACAGTCCAGAGTTCGACACAAATATAATTCATGTTTTACCATCAACAAGAAATGGAGATTTTATGATTCCTAAAGATAAAGTTTTTCCTGCATATGTACAATGTACAAACTGTTCTTTTAAAACAAGAATACGAAGCAGTTTGGTCCATCACTTACAAGAAATGCACATGAAAAAAGGAACACAGAGAACAAAGCAGGTATTTACTAAATATTTATCTGATTGCAATAAAAAAAGAGACGACCAAAAGATACATGCCGTTGAAAACCTTCCTGAAGTTGGGAAACATTACTACAAGTATGGACATAGTTTTGAAACTAAAGTTGATGTGAACCCAATTGAGGTATTGACAGATAATGAAACAAGGGGAACTTCTCTACATTGTTCTAGTTGTAGTTTCATTGGTAAAACCTCAAAACAGTTGGATATTCATAGATATGTCAAACACATCTTGAAGAGTCATTTCTTCTGTATCTACTGTGGGTTCAAAGCAGCCTCGGAAAAGGTGATACAAGACCATTGTGTGAGTGATCATAAAAGCTTGCCAGCTGGACATAAAATTCTCCCAGCAGATATGGACCCAAATCCCTGGCTATGTTTGTCATTGGTGAATGATGTATTGGACAATTCAAAAAGAAATATGAGGCACATAGCTGAAACGACTACTGGAACAGCTGAAAAGATTTCAGCATCGACAAGAGGAAATGATGACAATACAAGATCAAAAACACTACAGAAGTTTAAGTGTATCATATGTAACAAAAATCCTGAACGAAAAGATCGCTATTCAATTTCAAGACACATCAACAAAAGACACAGAGGTATTAATAACTACACTTGTAGAAAATGTAATACATCATTTTTCTTAAAAGTGCAATGTGAAAAACATTGCATGGCAGAGCACAAATCAGACAAATATGTCCATTTTAACAGGCCTCCTTTATTTAAAGTTGTTAAAATAAAAGGAGATATTTCCTATCTTGGAACAGACATTGAGGAAGATCCAAAAGTAGAAACTGAGACTGAAAAAGTAGAAACTGGCGTAAGAGAAACTTTATATTGCGGCCTTTGTAATAAAAGTGATAAGGAAGAAGAGATCATTAAGAAACATATTCTTAACAAACATATGCGATTCCTTCCATTCCGATGTACACTTTGTGATCACCCATTGTACAATCAAGAGTCTGCAGAAGCACATTGCAAAAACAGGCATGAGGGCAAAGAAATTGATAAATGCATTACTTCCGTAGCAGCTCCAAACATTGATCATACCATCAAAGATGTCAAAGGAAAAATTTATATTGGGGACGTTGCATTAACAAAACCCACTATTCCACAAGAAATGCAGAGCTTAAATAAAGTTTCTGGAACATTGCCTGTGAGTAAGGCAGTTGATCCCCCTCCATCACATGTTGAAACAAGTAATGCCCCCGAAGACAGAAAGAAATATCCTGACTTTGAATGTGGTATATGCAAGAAAAAATACCAGAACAAACACACCATCAAAATGCACATATATACTGCCCATAAAGAAACACAACATTTCTTTTGCAAACTCTGTGATTTTGAACCAAAGTTGACACGTGATGAAATAGAAGAGCATTTATTGAATGTCCATTCTGATACTTCATCATCAAATATTGGTATAAACAAATTACCTCCAATGGCTTATACAAAGTCAGGTAATGTTACTACTGTCAACCCTGTTAGATTTAACTCTGAAAAGCTGACTGGTAAAGTTGTCAGAAAATCTAAATGTGGATTGTGCCATAAAGTTTGCATGAATTATCAAAATATGAAGAAACATGTCTATGCTGTCCACATGAACCTTGGAATGTACTATTGCAAATTATGTCCAATCAATGGACACCAGATCAGCCAAATAAAAAACCATGTGATCTCGAAACATAGCAAAACTGCTGTCAAGAAATATATAGGAAAACAAACATTTCCAGAATTAAGAGAAACAAACACACCAAATTATATAATACTTTCACCACTATCAAATAATATTGAAAGTAGTTCCATCAAACAGCCAGTGACAATCACCAAGGTCAGTGAGAGTGATATAACTACTCCAGTTGATGTTTCTACTGAGAATATTGACAAACTTGCAATGACAACTGAAAAAATGTTGAAATGTCCAAGTGATTCAAGTGTTGATTTAAAAGAGACACTAAAAGTGCCATCAAAACCTTCTGGTTCAGCAAGGGAGGGTTACAATGGCTCTGCACTGGGAGTGAATAGAGTGAAAAGTAAAAAGGGGAAAATCAACAAGTGTGGTTTATGTGGAAAGACCCACCTTTGTTATGCCAGTATGAAGAGACATGTCTATGAAGTACATATGAAGTTGAGAACATATTATTGTAGCTTATGTAATAACTTCAAAAACTGTCCCACGAAAGGTAAGATAAAAAAACATTTGAAAAGTGTCCATAACAAAATCTCTGATAGATACATTGGTAGACATAAAATGCCAAGATTGAAAATGGTAATCTCTCAAAAGTATGTCACATTTTCTCCAAATGATACCAATGATAACAAGGAGGCAACATTAAAGACACCAGTTAAGAAACGTAAGGAAACCCAATTTAAGAATAAATCCAAGGTACCAGATCAACCAATAATGTACCAATGTGATGAATGTAAGCAAACTTCCAAGCATGCTCAACTTATACAAAGACACGTACTTAACGTTCATTTAGGTCTGCAAAGATTCAACTGTGCAATATGTAGATTGGGAAACCAAAATTCTACTATGTTATTGCATCATATTGAATCAAAACACAAAATAAAGGTTCCCGTGAGAGCAGTGGTTAAAAAGAAAATGCCTCGCCTGATTCGAAAAAGAAGGGGTGCGTATATTGTTTATACTACTGAAACAATTAAAGCAGAACAAGATTCTGATAACAACCAGTCATTGCCATTTGGAAAAAGTAGCTTGAAACACAATCCTGGAAGCAAGAGTAGAGGCAGACAAAAATACAAATGTGATGCATGCAATAAGGAATTCCATTTGCCACATCATGTTAAAAGACATGTAAAAAATGTTCATTTAAATCTGTACAGATACAAATGTTCAGTTTGTGGAATGGAGATGGAGTCACATATTAATTTATTGCAGCATATTAAGTCAAAGCACAAAACAATAATACCAGATTCTGCAGTGATTGCAAACAAACCGCCTCAGATTGTTATGAAAAGAAGGGGAGAATTTATTGTTTTCACAACTGAATTGAAGAAAGTTAGAGTGAAAGACAATTATTATCAATCATCAAACATCATAAGAGGCTATGAAGACCTGCCTGCAAACAATAAACCAAATTTCCAATGTGATGATTGTGGAAAGATATTCCAGGATGGCTCTAATGCGAGAAAACATGTTTATCTTCATTTGGGCCTCAGCAAATATGGCTGTACAATTTGTGGAGTAGCCTTTCAAACATCATCTAAAGCATTGCATCATATCCGTCATACACATAAAACAAAACATCCAGAGGAAGCGATGAATAAAAACATAATGCCTAAACTTGTTCAGAAGAGAAAGGGGTCAACGATCATTATATGCTCCCAGCTTGAGGAAATTCCTTGTGAATCATCCAACCAATTGTCACCAACCAGAAGTAGTTCTCAAACTGAAGGAGACTTAAGTTATATGCCCTCAAAAGAAAATAATTTAGGGCCCCCAGAATCAAGAACAGAAGTATCAAAAAATCATAGAAATAAGCATTTAGCTTTCAATGTTGCTTGTGCATTATGTATGAATACTTTTCCATCACGTATAAAAACATACAAGCACATTTGTAGAATTCATTTAGATATATCCATACACCAGTGTTCACTGTGCAGTCAATTGTTCAAGACTTATGAGAATTCCATTGTACATATCCAAAAAGAACATAGTGGTGAGGCTCAGTCACAGATTGAGATCCCTTCCAAACTGAAGAAAGCTGAATTGCAGGGGAGAACTATTCTTATTGGTAATGTGGAATGGGCAAGAAAAGAAATGGAAAAATTGCTGTGTATTGCTGATGACACAAACAGCGTCAGCTTAGCAAGTGTTCAGCATGAAAGTGTAAATGATAAAAGTAGAGATCACAGTAAATCTGAAGAATTAATATTTGACAATGATTTTGAAAGCCTGCTAGATGGTATTGATTTTGATGAAACAATTGGTTCTCTTGAAAAAAGAACAGATTCAAAAAAGGATGCAACAACTGTTTCTGCAGTACAGGTTGAAGCAGGTACAAGTTTTCAAGCAGTACATAGTAAAGTGCAACCAGTTGGCCCACCAGTACCTATTGAAGCAGCACCTATTGACCAAGCAGTGTATCATGAGGCAGTACCAATTGAACCTTCAGTATGTAGAGAATTAGAACCAATTGAATCATCAATACATACTGAAGGAGCACCAATTGATACAGCAGAATATAGTGATGCATCACAGATTTCCCAAACACCACATGGTGAAGTGGTACCAAGTCTTTTACAGTACACAGAAAATAGATCATTATCAGATCTAGAATTAGAGGATTGTGGGAATTTATTTGATGATCCATACTCTTGTCAAGACTTTCAAAGGAATCCAAATTCTCCTACATGTGGCCCAATTATCAACGGCCAAGAACATGATATTTCCCCAGTTTCATTGACACATGAAACTGCAAAATTAGTTACAGGAGGCAGTGATGATCCATTTGATATGTTAAACAAATTAGCACCTGCAGAACTTGAGGATCTGTTGACAGTGAGTACATCAGTAAATCTCAATCATAATCACGAGTCAACACATGAAGGAAGTTCAGACCTCCAAAATGAGCCACAGGCTCTTGGTGAACAGATGAACATTGATACAGCGGTAGTTAGCAGTGAAACTGCCCTTCTGGAAGTTGGTGAGTGCTCTACAGAGAAAACCAATGAGAGGGAAAATGATATTAAGTTCAACACATCATCACGTAATACTGCAATAGGTAAAAATGAGAAAGATATTGGATCGGGTCAAAGCTATGGTGTTGCTAGTGCTTTGCAAAATGATATTAAGGTCAACATATCATCACATGATACTGTAACAGTTAAAAGTGAAAATGTTAGATCAGATCAAAGCTTTGGTGTTGCTAGTGCTGCACAGGAGTCATTTGGCTTGTCTAAAGGCCAGGACAATGTTCCAGATACCACTGAGCATAAGGTGAAATGTGAAAAGCTTGATTCTTCTCATAACAGTGAAGAATTTGACCAGGAAGTTTACCTCGCTTTGTCTGCTATACCACTGACTTCATCCATCCAAGGTGTTGATACAATCAGTGAACCAACATCAACAGGTAGATACTACAAATGTGGGAAATGCAAAGCAGAGAAATCTCCAAAGTTTATCTCTAAAGCATCATTGATATTGCACCTGTGTGGAAATCATTTTCTTTATACGCCATTTGTCTGTCAGATTTGTCAATATAGGGTTGGCTCAAAAGTTGGCCTACTGAAACATTGCAAACAAATGCATTCACCTTCTAAGTGTACATTCAAATACCAGAAAAATGAAGCTGTTGAGGTATCTGTGATGAAAGAAGTTGGAAAATCAACTCTTATTGCATGAACGTGTATGAAGAACTAGTGGTACAAATTGTAAACTTGACTTTATATAAGATAAGTCCTATAAAAAGAGTAAAGAATTGTTGATGTTGGAAAATGTGTAACAATTGAAAATGAAGCATGCTGGTGCAAACAGATGATCAAAATTAAGAAATGAAGTTGACATTTGATAGTTTTTAATTAGATATTGCCCAGAGGCAATTTTAAAGGTTTATATTTGATAGTTTTCAATAAGGTATTGCCCATTGGCAATTTAAGAGGTTTATTTAGTAATGGCGTGTGTGAAAACTGCAGTTTTGTCCATATCCCCTGTTATTCCATTCTCTCAAATTCCAAAATCTGTCCTCATGTGAGCTTTACCAAATCATCTCCAATTCAAATGGCCATCTTTTGATGAGATGACACACTCCATGGTGATGAGATGACATCCAATAGATGAGATGACGCCAAGACATCACCCATTTGGGATGTAACTGTGTGCAGTAATCCAGATCTTCACATACCCTCAGTGAGGTAAGTTTAGTTTAACATGCATTGGCTTTTTATTTAGGATTATTTTGAAGCACTTAATTAAGATTCTGATTGCAACACTTATAATGCAAATGATAAATACAACAAATGCTTTTTATGACACATGCACATAAAAAGGTACAATATTGGATTCAGCACAAGGCATCGTGGTTTCACCTTTCTCATGTGTCTATTAGTTACAGACAAACTGGTGGACAGATTGATTTGAAATTTTCAGGAATATCTCTTCGTATGAATTTTTGGGCATGTATGGTTTTAAGGAGGCCATTTTTGATTTTTAGATTTTTGTTCACCTTGTGTCTAGTAATGTCTCCCAAAATTATTAAATATCTATAAAATAAACCATGATATGACTCAGTTGATGGATGTGTTCAAGTATAATACTATAAAACCACTGTTAGACTTTGCTTTATGACCTACATTTGTATATTTTTTCAGAGGGAAGTGTGGGATCATCATCAGCTAGCTAATTTAAGGTAAAGACGTGTTGGGGACAAATTTATTGGAACTTTGGTTTATCTTGGACAATCCATATGTAAACTAATCAATAACTACAACAACCGACAACTACAGCAACTATCAAATACAATCAATCTAAAACAATTTATAATAACAATTTACAACAACTAACAACTACAGCAGCTATCTACAAATACAATTTACAACAAGTATTGTCAGACTCATTAATGTACTATGAACTCGGTGAGTGCACAACAGACATTGAAGAGTTGTTTAGCAGGCCCGTAGCCAGGATTTGCTAAGGGGGGGGGGGTTCAGTTTTCAAAAATTTCCAGGGGGGTTCACATTTGACAATTTTGGCCCAAATATGGCTAAAATCACTTGAGAAGTGCTCAAAATGGTGAAAAACTGCATGATTTTGAAAGAATTTTTGGCCAAAGGGGGTTGCAGACCCCTCCCCCTTGCTACGGGCCTGTTTAGCCTAAGTGAATATGTTGGATTTTTTACTTTTTGGAATGCTAAGACCAGAAATACCAAGTGCTTAACATTCTTCAATTTCTGTTCTGTTTCACTTTCAACATGAGAGTACATGATTTATAGAAGGAATGTGTGAGTGAAATTTGATCCATGTAGAAACATAGTTCCTGGTTTAGTCAGTAAATGTAAAAATATACATATTTTGTATATCTCTATATATTCTATATTTTATGTACATTATACTGTTAAATATTTTGATAGCATGTTACATGTAAATGAAAAATTACTTGTTATAGTCATTGAACCATCCTCTATTTATGAAAATAGAGATTTAATATCGAACCATTCTCTGTTTATAAAAAATTAGATTTTATATAGAACCATCCTCTGTTTGTGAAAAGAGAGATTTAATATAGAACCATCCTCTGTTTTTAAAAATGGAGATTTTATATTGAACTATTCTGTTCATAAGAAATAGAGATTTTAAACAGAACCATCCTCTATTTCTGAAAATAAGAATTTGATATAGAACCATCCTCTGTTCATACAAAAATAGAGATTTTATAGAGAACCATCCTCTATTTATAAAAATAGAGATTTTATATAGAAGATTCTCTTTTTTATAAAAAAATAGAGAATAAAAAATAGAGATCTTATACACAGAACCATCCTCTGTTTCTGAAAAAAGAGATTTTTATATAGAACTGTTCACTATATAAATGATACTTACCATGACACAATGTTCTTTTTCAATTTTGTTTTCATAGTGATAGAGAGCCTAGGGTTGAATTTTATTTTCTTAGAATTTCTTAGAAATGTAAACTTGACACACAAATGGCTCAGAATAAAAATATTTTCTTAAATAATATAAAATACATAGTATTATAGTGTGATATTATAGGTACATTGGTCATGGGTAGCAATCATGGGTATGATTGCTAGATGGGACTTGGATTATGGCTCCTTGTTAAATTATTTTCACTTGTTAGTTCAAATCCTAGCCGGTATTATCAGACATAATAAACAGTATCAAGGGGCTATAATCTTTGATATTACCCATGGTAATGCATTTTTTTATAAAGTTTGTATTAAACATAAATGAAAATGTCAGTATTTGTAGTATAATCATTTGAATTTAGATGATGGCATTGTATTAGTCTTGTTTGATAGCTACCCAGAATTATAAATCATATGATTTTGATCATCAGATTTCAAGTTTGGAAGGAGATTAGTGCAATGGTTATCATTTAATTTGATGTGTAATTATTCTTACTATGTAGTGTGCTTAGATAGAATATATATGTAGTATTATGTTTATAAAGAGATTTTTATAACAATTTTGGTGCCAAATGGTGTCAAGAAGTTCTTGATCTATTCAAGTTGTCATTCGGTAAACTGTGTCAATGTTTCAAATTTTTGTTTATCCCAAAAATTTGCAAAATCTGTAATATTTGTAAAACTGAAATATAGAAAGTTAGATAACATGTAGGCTATACACAATCTGATGCAAAGCCCCAGAAAATTACACAATTTGAAAGGATGTTCTATACATTTATATGTCCCAAATTGGCCTGATAATCTTGGGCAGCGTGCTAGATAGCTGTTAAAAAGCTATGTCATACTATAATATGAACAAGTTGCCTCTGATTTTTAACATACTGTATTACAATTGCTTATATCAAGTTATTGTACATTTGCAGAGTATGGTTTTTGAAACACATGAAGTTAGTGTGGAGGGTTTAGTATTGTGTGCACCTTATTTGTAATATTTAACTGTTTTTTAAAGATTTTTGATGCCATTTAGGTATATCTGATTGTGCTGAATGAAGTATGACCTGATGGTGTTTTACTTTGTGGTAAGCTTATACAGTTAATCTGGAAAGTTAATACAGTAATATTGTTTTATAAAATGTTTTGTCTTGTTCTTGTCTAAATGTAAAAGAATTTAAAGAGATGCTTATGTGAAAATATGCAATTTTTCTTTATTTAGCAATTCAGAAGAGAATTTCCATTGTTTTTTGGCTTCAATGAAAAATCTTGAAACTCGTACATCTGTATGATGTGACTGAATAAAAAATCAGTATTAAAACATCAACACTTATAACTTTATAAAAGTTCACCCCTTTATAGATTGAGAAAATTGTCTTATTATGTCACCACCACAAGTGGAGACATATTTTTATAGCCTCCAACTTTTTGTGGTTGATGTTCAGTGTTTGGTGGTGACATTTTGCATGTTAATGCCTTGTTTTACACATTTTAAAGGACTTAAGTTGCCATATAAGATCCATTTAATCTCATGTTTAAATTCTAACTAATATAGTGATTTGACAACAAAGTTTTTACAAGGTGACAATCCATCAAACCATTTATCAGTTTATCAGGGTGAATTACCAAGATAGAGAGGTAGTTAGCAGTTTCACCACCAGGTGGCTAGTTGGGGGAAATAACATGGCAAGTACAATGGTACATGTATATAGAAAGTTCCCTTAAACTTGAATTTTCATCACTTTTGGTGGTTCATTTTTCCATATTACCTTAATGTATCCGATAGTTATACAAATCAAAATATGTCCAGTAAAAATTTTTTTTTGATATTTTAACTGTATTGTATCTTATATTGGACACATCTAGTCTATTCAGTCTGATTTATATCTCCCAGAACTGGCTCAAATTGATCAAATACTTTTCTCTTGGACTTCTATATTATATGACAATTTAAAAATATAATGATATTTTTATGATTTTGATATTGTTGAAATCCATGCATGAGAGAAATATCCAAGACAAAACCACATTGATATATTTACCCCAGCTCTAAATATGTGTGTGTAACATTTCTGTGATGATTCATTTCACCTTTAGCATATTAACTTAAAATTTATTCACAAGTCATTTTCAATTAAAATTCTCAGCTTTTCAATATTTTACCTTTTTATTATGAATATTGGTGAACTAGCCAAACAAATCTTGCGAAAATCTATTAAAATACAATGATTCGGACAAAGGAAAAATAGACCTTCCCAATTAATCCTGCCATCTTTTTCAACACTAATTAAACTAGGATGTTTGCTACCCTACGACTTTAGTTTCTTTTGCGTACAAAATATGGCAGGCATCATTGGAAGGGTCTATTGTAAAGTTGTTTTGACATAGGGTCAAATTGAGTTCATTTTTTATAAGTACACCAGTAGCAGATAAAAAAGAATGTCATATTGACCTTACACAGTACAGTCATATTCCACTGCATAGAATATAAAACCTATAAATCTAAATGTATTTGTATGCCCGGCATTGTATTGACTTTAGTGGCGGTGCACTGCACGAAACAATTCATTCAACTCTCAAAGAGGGGATTCCCCAGGGTTTATGATTTCATGACGCAGAGGAAATGTAATCAAGGTGAGGCTTGTATGTTTGTTTTATATTAATTGAAGTGGCTGTTATAAGTATCATCTAATTGAGAATGTCAAACATGGGAAATATGTAGAATTAACGGTAAAGGAATATATGTAATGATTAATTCAGGAATGCTGTCTTTGTTCTTGAGATATTCACCTTTATGAGTATTCCCTGATACCTGAGGATTGCCCTGGTTGCTTTTGGATGTAGCACCTCTGTATTTTGGGAATGCTGGACCTAAGTAGACTACTTTGGAATAGTTGCAACTGTGTATCTGGGGAATGCTGGATCTAAGTAGACTACTTTGGAATGGTTGCACCATTGTATCTGGGGAATGCTGGATCTAAGTAGACTACTTTGGAATGGTTGCACCTATGTTTCTGGGGAATGCTAGACCTAAGTAGACTACTTTGGAATGGTTGCACCTATGTTTCTGGGGAATGATAGACCTTAGTAGACTACTTTGGAACGGTTGCACCTATGTTTCTGGGGAATGCTAGACCTAAGTAGACTACTTTGGAACGGTTGCACCTATGTTTCTGGGGAATGCTAGACCTAAGTAGACTACTTTGGAACGGTTGCACCTATGTTTCTGGGGAATGCTAGACCTAAGTAGACTACTTTGGAATGGTTGCACCTATGTTTCTGGGGAATGCTAGACCTAAGTAGACTACTTTGGAACAGTTGGACCTATGTTTCTGGGGAATGCTAGACCTAAGTAGACTACTTTGGAACGGTTGCACCTATGTTTCTGGGGAATGCTAGACCTAAGTATTGTTCAATGGTAAAATGGATTTGTATTATAAACAGTAGAATGTCATATCTTTATCTTAATTTTGTTATGTTGAAATATTATTCCAGAATAACTGGTTGCCATTCGACACAAAATGGATAATAATTACGAAGCATCTAAGTTTAGATTATTAGAAGCTAATCGAATAGACTTTGTGAAAAGGATAAATGTACCAGCCATACTTCCTCATCTAGCTGGCACCCTTTCCCGATCCGATATGGTAAGTGGAACTTTAAAAGAATTTCAAGCAGAAAAACTCATGTCTTTTACAGTATTTACTTAATAATTATAGTCTCCAACAATTTTTGGTAGTATTTGGCAGTCAGTGCCATCTGTAGCAAATAGCAGGTGGTGACATTTTGCGTACCTTGCACTGGCTTGCTCTTAACCTCTAAACTGACTAAGAATGTTTAATTTGGAGGGAGGGTTAAAAATTATCAATGCAAATTATTATTCAACATGAATCAGTCTATCCCTGATCAATAAAATTTTAATATTCATTATATCTTTTCAGGAATATTTACATGCTCAATGGAAACTCAATGGGAACAATGCAGCTTCGCTTCTATTGGACAAGTGAGTAACACCTAAGTACACTCCCCTCCAAACCAAACCCCTTCAAACCATATGTCATCAGTGTTGAGTGTTGATTTTTATGATTTTTTCATATTCATCAATCACCAATTTACATATTGTAAATTAAAAACAAAATTTTAAACATAAATTGGTTTAATGCTTTATCCAACAATTGTGACTTGTGGTTGGCAAACTTGTTAACGGGGTGTAACATCGGTCTTTAAGAAATGAAGTTCAAGAGATACCACAACAATTTTTATCCACATGACCAAGGATAAAGATACATAGTTCGATATGTAAATAATTTTTTATTTTGTATTTAAAAAGCATCAAAAGAGGTTATTTTATATGCATGTGGTTTATGATTTTGAACACATGTAATCAGATATTTTGATTGCCATCTTTACAGGATATGAAAATCAAATATTTTTCAGTCACTAAGTGCAACTTCTAGCTTTTCTTTTCATTGTAGACTTGTCCGAAGAGATGACTGGGTAGAAGGATTAGTTCAGGCTTTACGCAGTGATGATGTTAACCTTAATAACCTGGCAGATATACTTGATCCGAACCATCTCATACCTGACATTATCAAACATTAAAGTAAAGTACTAAAGCAGAGAGACAATAAGGAGTTAAAGCCTGCATATAAAATTGAAACGCCAATCTATACGTATGACCAATCGCCTATACGAAGGCATCGCTTAAATATTTTCCATTTTACGTTTAGGTTGTGAAAAACATTGCAAGCTTCAATTCCCTATTAAGTTGATCTGACACTTTTACTTAGGACAATCATAATTATGATGATTTGATTATAGAGAAATGAAATTCAAAGACATCACTCATTCTCCATATATTCAAGATGAGGGAGCAAAGGTGGAATGTATGGCTCACAATGATGCAACTGAGATTATGACCTCAAATGTGTAACTGCTACCTATACACTTTATATAGGGTGGGTCGAAAAATATGTCCACATTTTTTTTTGTTGATTTTGAACTTTTTTTAGCCCACCCTGTATGTATGTATGCCTTTATCTATATAAAAGGAACTATTCAATGTTCATCGAATCCAATATTTAATTCCCTTGTGGCTATACAATTTTAAATACACTCATATTTTTAAGGTGAAGGAAAACGCTAAAGAATATCTAACACACTGAACATATTTTAATGGACCTATTACAATGTACACAAACCCTGCTAGGACTTGCCTTCACTTTAAAAATCGAAACAGGATATTTTTATGTCATCACCTCAAGTGGTGACATATTATTATGGTTGGTGTTTTGCGATTGGAGTCTGTAACAAATGGTAGGTGGTGACATTTTGCATGTTAATGCCTTGTTCAATATGGTGCTTGTTATGTTACCTACAAGTATATTTACTGTGCACATTGCTGGATATATTGATTTTATATTGTATTTTAAGATTCTCAAAACATGATTTGTTCTGTTCCCGTGCAGCTGTTGAAAATACATGTTACAACCTTGCAATTTATAATAAAAAATAACTCTTGTTTTATTTTTGTAATTTATATAGGGTACTGTTTAATGAACATTTTACATGACAAATCCAGTGCAGCCCTCTCCCACACAGTCGGGGTAGGGGAATGTGTCGGGAAGAACCTGTGGGCTTGTTGTGAACTGAAGAACACCCCCTGGACTGGCATAATACATCTGAAATATATTGTAAATAATTTAGTTAACATTTGATGGTTTTTGCTAATCTTGCATAAAGACTGGTCTCTCTCATCTTTTTTTGAACAAGGGGTATGTATTTTTGGGTGGGGTCCATTTACATTGGGTCAAATGCAAGACTTTTATATTGTATGTAACCTATTTTAAGACATT